CTTAGCTGAGGCTTCTGCTTTCAGCAACGGTCCTGTGTTGCATGCTGTTCCTTGATTCTGCAAAGTACGAGCATTGTTTGAAGGAGTCCAACCATTCCTTGATTGTTGGCCATGTATGTATATGCAGAGATCACCTCGTGTTTGGTGCTGAGGCCACATATAGCGATGTGCCCTTGGTGCATGCAGTGCCTTCATTTTGCCTTCATTGTTCGAAGTACTATCATTTGCAAACGTCTAAAGATGATGGGTGGACGATATCAACAAGCTACTTGAAGCTCCACCTGCTGTTTTTGCTGAGGAGTCAGCGTTGAGCAGCAGTCCATTGATGGATGGGGTGGCCTGTTGCTAAACAATGATGGGATTTTTGTACAAAATGATCCCATGTCCAACAGCTTTGGAGAAACTCAGGATTGGCACGATGTGCATGAGCAGACCTTGCCTGTCCACCATATTTGGACTAATACCGCCAATGCCCCTTGGATTGAACTGGGAGAGGCAGAGCAAGAAATGCACACTCACACGCTGTGAGAAAGTAGCTGCATCTGCGAGTGCAGCCAATACCACCGACCATACACCCACAAGCAACAATAAGCCACAAAGCAAATCTCTCCTTAAGCCTCCACAGTCAGTGTACATATGATCAAACAATCCTTTTGTTTGGATGTAGGGTATGTACATACTATACACGTACCCCGACTTTTGGCTCAAGGGAAATAAGCGCGAGCGGCCGAGCTTTGAGCGTCCATATACATTTTCATGGTAGCGGAGCTCTTGGTTACGTTGGCCGCGCTTTTGATCCACTTGGTTGGCCTTTACCTGCCCGAGATTGTCGCCTCCATCGGGGTGCTGTCCGCCGCTTCGGTGGGCGCACGCTGGAGGTGGAATCAGAGGGCACTCCAGCAGCGACGAGTTGATCGCTGGCGGCGCCTGGTGCGCAAGATCTTCAGGATCCGCTCCCTCCGACGAGTTTGGGGGCATTTGGGCCACTTCCTGAACGACCGGAATCGATGGCCACGGTTGGAGGGATGAGTGCACAAGAGCTGATCGACGTGGTACGACAGCTGAGGCAGGAGGTCACCCAGGGACAGCAGCGCGAAGCACGACTACAAGGGCAAGTTGAGATGCTGGTTCACGCTCAGCAGGCACAAGGAAGCGATCCAGGAGGACACTTCGAAGGTATGAGGCAAGCGTTCACGGCCTTGGCGCAGTCGCAGCAGGACCTCATCGAAAACATCAAGGTGCCGAAGGACGCCAAGAAGACTATGAGCTTGGTCGACAATCGTGGACTAGCGAAACCGGACAAATTCGACGGAAAGGAGGAAGGATTTTTGTACTGGCGCACTCGACTAGAGGCCTTTGTGACCTCGATCCATCCGGATCTGGAAGACATCATGCTGTGGGCCGAGGAGATGGACCATGAGATCATGTCGGCTGACATCAAAGCCGCTTGGGGCCCGTTGAACCCCAGTGAACGCGAAGTCGTGGACGTTGACAGCATGAACTCGCAGCTGTTTGCGGTGCTGCAGACGTTATGTGAACGTGAAGCTTTCCAGATAGTACGGAGCTCTGGGAAGCACAATGGTCTGGAGTCGTGGCGACGCCTGGTACGAAGATTTGACCCGGCTACCGGGAACCGAAGACGAGCAATGTTGAGAGCCATTCTCAACCCAAGCAAGGCGAGCAAGCTCGAAGACCTGTCGAACTCCATCGAATCTTGGGAGGAAATGGTAAGGCAGTACGAGCGCAAGAAGAGACCGGACGGAACACGGCATCAGCTCGACGAGGAGATCCGCATGTCGGTGCTGGAACACTTGTGCCCCGGCGAATTGGAAAAGCATTTGCAGTTGAATCGCTCAAGATTCACATCGTACCTGGACGTGCGCAATGAGATCGTGCTGTACATCGAGGCAAGGCTCGGGGCTAAGTTCCGAATGACCGATGCAAGCCAACCTCCCGGAGGGCAAGATCCACAACCCATGGATGTTGGAGCATTTGAGAAGAAGGGCAAAGGAAAGAGCAAGAAAGGCAAAGGCAAAGGAAAAGACGGCAAGACGAAGAAGGGCGACTCGAAGGGCATTGGAAAGTGGCAAAGCAGCGGAAAAGGACAAGGATCCCAGGCCAAAGGCTCAGGTTCGCAAAGTTCGAAGACTTGCCACAACTGTGGCAAGACGGGGCATTTTGCTCGAGATTGCTGGAGCGCTGGCGGCGGTGCAGCGAATGCGAACCAGAAGCCGAAAGGCGGGAAGTCTAATCCTAAGTCGAAGGGCAAAGGTGGCAAGCACATGTCCAACCTGGAGGAGTCCCCCGCAGAGCCGCATGCAGAGCCGATGGATACAGGATGCTTAAGCCTCGCAGGACTCGAAGTGGAGATTGAGATCGACCCGGAGATCAAGCAAGAGCTGGAGGACGCAGATCGATGCATGAATCCTTGCGACTATTGCTTCTGCCAGAATTGCGGACTGGACGAAGGAGGACATGTTGAACACATCTGCAACTTGTGCGGCATGGATTGGGAAAGGTTCCTGGAGAACGAGGACCTGAAGTCCATTCGAGCTGCGCTCAAAATGACGAAGCCGGACGACTTCGAGTACATCGTGGACAAAACGATTTGTCTCATGAGGGGAATCTCACTGAAGACCTTCCAGGCTTACAAGGACGATGTGAAGGAGAAGTTGCGGAAGAAGGTCGACCCTGATGAGAGCTTGCGGAAGATGAACAAGGAGACATTGCAGCAAGTCGAAAAGCACAGGCAGGAACTTCGCTTGCTATACTTCGAGAAGCTGACAGACGCGATCGTTGGGGAGAGTCGAACCTCTGGTTCAGGCCAGCCCCCGGGATCCAAGGATGGCGGGACGAGTCAGACCCTTGGTCAGGCCGGCCCCGCATCCGGATCCAAGGAACAAGCGTCAGGTTCAACAAGCCGCATAGAGACAGAGGTGAAGCCCAGAGTGATGGAAGAGATGAGTCGAGCCTTTGGTTCGGCCGAGTTCCCATCAAGACCCGCAGGGTCATCCTCCGGGACAGTTTTGCACCGAACCATCGAACAGATGGAAGTGGCGAACATCGACGCTGCGATTCGCGAGAAGATGGCAGCGTGCGAGGAATGCGAAACGAAAGAAGAGGTTCAAAAGTTGGAAACCGAGGTCATGGTGTTGAAGGCCAAGAAGGACAAGTTGAAAGAGAAGATTCACCGAGATGACCAGGTCACCAAAGCGAAAGCCAAGGCAGCGCCTAAGCTCACCGCGGAGAACCTGAACGACCAAAGTTGGCACGATTCGCGGTATTATCAAGCTGTCAAGGCCGGTGCAAGCCATTCGCTGGCGTGGAGTCAAGAACGCAAGAGGAGGAAGGCAACTCTACATCGCCAACAAGGAGTTGCCGACCGTGCAGCCGAAAGAATCAGGATGGACAAGGAATGGCATGAAGAGTTTGACTCAAAGCCTGTGAAGGAGGAGGAATTCGACAAGGAAGAAGACAACACGATTGAGACCGAAGCCGTGCAGGAGATGGATGACGGAATGGTGCGTGTTTTCACGGGCCAAGCAAAACGCGTGGCTCGAGGAAAGCTCAAGAAGCACCAGTTCTCCCGATTCTTCAAGTCTGCACGGACGTACCGGAAGCTCAGTCAGGAAGAAGTAGCCAAGTTCGCCGTGGAGACCAAAGACGACGAACTGCGAGTGATGGGCCGGAAGAGGACAGATGTTCTTCGCCGACGGGACCGACCCATGAGCAAGGAGAAGAAGGAATCCAGGAAGAAGCGTGTTCGAAAGGCAAGGGCACGCAAGCGCAAGGAAGAGGAGGAGAAGTTCTACCTGAAGCACCCGCGCGACAAGATGCGATGCTTCGATTTCCGGAGGTCACACTGTGGCAAAGGAGTGAAGTGCAAGATGGCCCACTCCGAGATCGATCGCGAGCGCTACTTCCTGCAGAGCCGCCGTGACGAGGTGCAGAAGGACCTGGACAATGTCAAGCTGACCCGTGGAGAGATCAATTCGTTCGCGGTGAACGAGCTGTCAGTCGACGAAAGCGGTTGGGTCAAGGTAACCGCAAACTTGGACACAGGTGCAGCCGTCACTGCGATCCCGACAGAGTTGAAGAGCCTGTTGGGGATGGAATCTGGAGATCCCAACGACGCCAGCTACAAGACCGCTTCGGGCGAGCTCATCGCGGACGAAGGTGGTGGAACGATCCGCGGCCTCACTGAAGAAGGCTATGGAAGGAAAGTGGACGGTCGATTTGTGAACGTCCACAGGTTGCTCGTCTCAGGAAGCAAGGTGACAGCCCGCAACTTGGTTGTCATGGACGGAGAGCAAGGCGACATCGTTCCAAAGGATGGACCCATCGCACGAGGACTTCGAAGAGCGCTGAAGAGCTTGAAGCGCAAGTTCCCGAAGGACAACCGGGACACCACGAAGCTGTACGCGCACAAGGGCATCTTCTGCTTTGACCTTTGGTGCAAGGCAGAGCGAAAGACCGAAGGACATGAGACCATGGAGGAGCTCGCCGCAGTGGAGGCGGGTTTCCATCGGCAGGTGAAACCGTAAGTCCGAAGACTCCGATGGGGGGAGTCGGTCCTTTTGGACCGGCCGGACCCGCAGGAGCACCCTGAGGGGCGAATCGATCCGATGGATCGGTCGGCCCCCATGGAAGAAGAAGCAAGGGCTCCAAAAGTGTTGAGGAGTCCGACATCTCCCACTGCAGAGGAGATCGAGGAGCATGAGGCGATTGGACACGCGATCCATCGCACATGGTGCGGACACTGCATCCGTGCCAGAGGGCTGCACGAGCAGCGCAAGGCGAACCCAAGTCGAGACGACAGAGGATTGCCTACAGTGTCCCTGGATTACTTTTACTTCGGGGGCGAAGGCAGGGGAACGGAAGGAGAGCTTCCGAACCTGCAGGTGAAAGATGAAAGTACAGGGATGCTATGTGCATCCACCATCCCGGCCAAGGGAGCCGATGCTTTCACCACGAATTTCGTGCTGTCCTGTTTGGACGAAATGGGTTACAGGAGGATCATCCTGAAAAGCGACAACGAAGTGTCGATCAAAGCGCTGAAAGACAGCATCAAAGCGGCAGCTAAAACAGAGCTTTCCCTCGAGGAGGGGAAAACGGGCGATAAGCCGTCCACGGGAAGTGTCGAGTCCGCCGTGAAAGAGACCAAGAGGCAGTGCAGAGCCATGAAGAGCGCGTTGGAGGAGAAGCTGGGGAAAAGCATTCCCGATCGTCACGCCATTTGGACGTGGCTGGCCAGACATGCATGCTTCCTCATCTCGCGCTATCGTGTTGGACCCGACGGGCGCACGCCATATGAGAGGTTGAAAGGTAAGAGATGGAGGCGACCCTTGGTTGTCTTCGGAGAGCGAGTGCATTTCAGACCGCTCCAGAGCTATGTCTCCGGAAGATCTGATTTGGCGCCAAAGCTGGACATGGGAGTGTACGTCGGTACACATGGAAGAAATGGAGATGCCTTGGTCATGACAAAAGAAGGCGTGATCAAAGGAGGCAGCTTGAAGAGGCTGACGGTTGAAGAAAGATGGGCCGACGTGGAGCTCTTCAAAGGAACACCCTGGAAGATGAGGCCGAAGTCCGAAGAGGACGTCGAGGCAGCCGCTGTGCGGATTGAACTCCCGGCAGCTGAAGGCAGGCTCACGCCTGAGCCGGTGGCTCGAGACAGCGGGCCAAGGAACCTCTACGTCACACGTCGTGACGTGGAAGGAAACTACACGGCAGGATGTCCTGGATGCATAGCGATTCAGGTGGGGCTGCCAGCCAGGGCGCATTCGACAGAGTGCAGGACCCTGGTGCAGAATCGGTTGATGGCGACCGACGAAGGCAAAGAAAGGGTGGCGAAGGCTCAGAAGCGAAAGGAGGGAGGAGCGGCTCCCAAGGTAGTGTTGGCCGATATGCCCGATGAGGCAGAAGAGATGCATGCATCAGATGCCGTTGGACAACCCGAGGAACGAGTTGACCCTGTGGGTCAGCCGGTCCCAGGTTCAGGAACGGGACGAATCGATCCACTCGATCGGTCGACCCCTCCAGTGTCTCGTGCGGCGGAAGGTGCAGCAGGGGATGAATCTCCGACCAAGAAAGGAAGACATGCGACCGTCAAGAAAGCCAATTAAGGCTCAAACCACGCGCGGTTCAAAGCGCGGAGGAGGGGATCTCGACGATCTCTATGGAAGTGAGCCTCCGAGAGAAGGGGAGATCGAGCTGGAGAGAGGACCCAGTTCATCCTCGAAAGGCGAAGCTGCAGTCGCGAGCCCTGCCAAAGAGCAGGAAGAGAAAGTGGACAAGAGTCCCACGCCAGCGCCAGTTCGACAGCTGGTGATCGAGACGATTTGCAATCTCGAGTTAGCGTCATTCCTCAACGAGAAGATGTTTCCAGAAGCCAGTTTTGCAGAGTGCAAGAACGTGAGCCGCGAGATGCTTCATTTAGGTGCAAGTAGGGCACATGTCGCTGAAATATATAATCCAGAACGTTTCACTTCGAGGGCAAACCAATTTGGTCTCAGCCCCGGATTTGCAATTGACATGGAGTTGCAGAAGCCCAATGGAGAGTATTGGGACCTTTCGAAGAAGGCCGATGAGCAAGAAATGAACAGACTTTTGGATCGGCGCGAGCCGGCATGCCTCATTGGCTCACCACCTTGTGGACCATTCTCACCACTGCAAAAAGGAACTTTTCCTTGCATCCGGGCACTGGGATCACAACCGGTCCTGCAATGAATGCCCCCTGCGCCTGGCAACTTTGCTGTTGGTTTGGTTTGAAGCACGGGCCCCGCGAAGTCTTTAAACAGGGTGCCAACCCAGGAGTTTTGACCGGGTTAAAGCAGACATGGGTGGCTCCATTGATTTGGAACTAACAGTGAAAGCGGCAATTTGGTGCCTGCAACTGCAACCATCAATTTTTTAGACCGCAAGGGCTGCAAAGCTGTGAAACTTGAAGTAAAAAAACATGGCTCAAGTTCTCAGGTCCAAAAAAGGCTGTGCATTCGGGCCGCTCGTATTGTGGGCTGTTTTAAGTTTTTTTTTTTTTGGTGTTGTTAACTTGTATTGAAGTTGTTTTCATTCTTTGGGGATTGCGTCGGTTGGTGGGGCAGTGATTGCCGCCCGCATCCTCTACTCAGCCAATCACTGGCCCAACAATGGCTTTTGAACGGCTGCCCAGTGTGGTGGAGTCCCTCGAGGGGCCACAAGCTTAGAAGCTCACGTTTTCTTCTCGTCACGGATCCTGTGAGACTGACTTATTTGCTGAGTTCTGATGGCGTTGGAGATGATGATGGCACGCAAGTAGATTTGGTGGAGGAGATGGAAGTTGTAAAGACTCGTTTTGGGAGCTCCGCTTGTGAAGACTTAAGTTTTTAGGTTGTATAAGGGGGGTTTCAGGAATGGGTTCAATGGCCCGAAGATCGCAGATTTCCCAAATTTGGAATTGGACGAGCTGTGGGCAAGACCGTCCAGCTTTGCGACATTGCTCCAGCATATGGCAATTATGAGCCCGATGTCGGGCCTTTGAACTTGAAAGTTGACACTTACAGAAATTAGAAGCAGCTTGCTTTTTGCAATTGTTTTGGTGTTTTGCACAGATAATCGTTACTCGTTCTCCTCGTTGTCCCTTTTTTTCGTTTGAGGTGCCCGAAATTCAGCGACAGAGCGCTGGAGCCAAGAAAGCTGTCAAGAAAGGTGTGAAGATGGTCGAGACGCCTTGCGCGACGAACACTTATGGCACGATTCGTAGCTGTCTCAGTTTTCTCAATTTGAATCCATGTTAATTATCAGAACAAAATTGCATTGTATACTGGGTGTCATATGGATGGCGTTTGTTTCCAGGAGTCTTCGGGTCAACCGTTCGAGCTACTCGCTCGCACTTGTCGGTGCGGAGCAAGCAGGCGACCATTTTTTTGTGGAAAGTCTTCGATTTTGAACTTGCCAGTGGACTGTCCACTACTTACCGCTTGCCAGGACCTGGCCAGTCAGATATACTACTGGGATTTCTACAAGCAGGAGTGCAGGCGTAATAGAATCCCACGTGGGCACATCCTTCGACCAGAGGTCGGTGAATGGATGATGGGATTCTTAGTTCAGATTTTTCTTTGTTGCATCGGATGTTGCATCGAATATGTTTCTCTTACACGTGGTTTTTCACAAATCACCAGTCTGCGCCGCCAAGGCCTGCCAACAGGTTGGACCCGACCGGTGCATGGTTCGGTCAACGTCGAGCACTTTCGTGATTTATTTCCACATCATGGCCAGGCGCAGCGTTTGCGAGACCTACAAATGACAAACTGCACAGTTTCAGCTTTGACAGGCTGGCACAAAGCCTGCGATCTCCATGTTTAGTGGCATCATGGCTCTGGATTTGGGATTGACAGAGCTGGGTCCCAAGAAACCCACTTCATTTCACTTGGCTTGTTGCTTCTTCAGCGTTGGTTCATCAGGTTGGTCCACCCAGTATGCTTCGCGCTCACCTGAGATACCTTTCCTGGAGATTTTCAAAGTGAATTTCAAAAGAATCCCACTCAGGTGGAGATTTCAGAGTTTTGCCAAGCTGTGATCAGGGCCCGGCAGGGCGACGGCCTGATTCCGCAAGTACCCATTTTCTCGGACGTGCGAACATTCGATGCTGTTCAACTTTCAGTGGCTCCAGAAGCCATGGTAGCCGGATTTCCTTGCACAGTTTCTTGCCACAGCATTGACGTGTTGCTTTCAACTAATTTTTTTGCGCTTTTAATTTGTAGTAAACCTCCTTGGCGCTCCAAGGGCATTTCCCGGTCCGGCCTCAAGAAGGGATTGCTGGACATTGATCGAAGCGGACTTATTCGGGATGTGTTCCGAGTACTGGACACGGCAAATCTGTGTGCCCCAGCTTTGCACGTGAATGCGAACAGTTTGATTCGTCCTGAGCCTAGTGGTCCATTTTTTGCATCCGGTCTGCCAGGAAAACGTGCTATTTAGAGAACGTCAGCGACATCCTCAGTGCAGAGATGCGGCCAGTCATGCGGCTGATTCTGGAGGCTACAGCGCTCTTTTACGGACTGTTGGAAGCTAGTTGGATTCAAACGCCTCGGAGTTTCGATCAGGAGTTCAGCGCTCGGAACTTCGTGCTGCATTGGGCCACGGTGACGGGCAAGAACTGCGGAATTCATGTTGGGCCCCTATTAGGTTCCATGGTTTTTTAACTGCAGTTGATGTGCGTTGAATGCTGAGCTGAGGTTTGGCGCCAAAGAACATTCCTTATCGAGCGCAGGACCTTGAATTGATGACCGCGCAGCAGATGATTCAGCGCTCCAACCTTCCTTGGAATCGGTTAGGAAGAATCGAGACCCACAAATGGTTGATGCAGGACAGTGAAGTGCAGGCAGACGATTTCGATAGGCTGAAATCTCTAGGTAATTGTGTGATGCCGGCTTGCTGCCGGCTGGCGCTCCATCTCATGGGGCACCACATGGCTGGATAAAGTCTTTTGTTGTGGGCCCAAACAATATGTTTCTTCATGTGCTGTCGCCCTTCCTTGCAAGCTGTGTTGGGCAAAAGGCTGAAACATATCTTCAATTCAACATTCACAAGGTGAATTGCAGACCGCCGGAGAGGGATGTGATTTCCATCCATTCTTGGTGAAAAGGTTGCCATGTGTCCTCACCATGTGTTTTCAATGCTGGGCTTGTCAATGTCCTGCATGCAAGGCGCCCGCAGCCCATTTGGTTTAGGTTCAGGTTGAGAGATGTTCCACATCGCGCAGTTTCGTGAACTACCACATCATGGCAAGGTGCAGTGTTTGAGCGACACGCATAGTGCACAGCTTGAGCTTTGACAGGCTTCTTAGCCCTGGGTTGGGGTTGGCAGAGCTGGCTCCCAAGAAACCCACTTCACTTCAATCAAAGCTTATGTGAACGTTTGCTTCTTCAGCCTTGCTTCATAAGGCTGGTCCTCCCAGTATGCTTCATGCTCGCCTTATGCTTTATGCTCGCCTTTGAGGACAGAGAACGATGAGCTTGCAGGTTCTCCTGACTTGTTGCAAGTGGTTGCTTTTTGGAATTCCACAAACCCTTATTAGGTGAACTGGCCGTTTGAAGTGAGTCCATGGTCGTCGATAATGTTCCAACGCACCAGAAATGCTTTCATTGCTAAAATGGAGAGTTCATTCCTTGATTTTGCGTGGCTCCTTCCTCGAAGCAGGAGCCTTCTCCGGAAGTTGCTGGGACTGCTCGGGCCCCTGGTTCGAACCGTTTTAGAAGATTCGACGCAGCGCATGTGACATCAAGCGAGCAAAGTCATCCATCCATCAACTGCAATCATTTTTCATCAACTTCACGGATTCAAACATTCAGCAGACAGACACCCTTTGGCCAGCCCGCCACAGATCTTTTATGTCTTTTCTCTTCACGTTCCCCACGTCCAAGCCGCCCGATCCCTTTCCGAACCAATGCCTGAAGTGAAGGGTCGTTTGCGGTGCCCCAAACTTCAGGCTTTTCATCTGCGCCCGGGGAAAAGGCCAAAGAGACCGCAGGCGGTTCACTTGGAATCAATGCGTGGTTTGCCTCTGGGTAGTTTCACCGATTACCTCAAGATACCCAGGACCCAGAACGGCGCATCAGCTTGAAGCCTTTTTTTTATCTTTTTTTGATTACCTTCGGGCCTAGAAACCAGAAGACTAGTTTACTTGTCTTGGTCGGTGTCAAAATCTGCAAGGTTTTTCCTGCGGATGCCTTTTCTTTTGAGAATTATGCATTCCCCAGGTTTGGTTTGAAAGCAGCATCATGAAAGATGCATAAAAGGCTGAAGATTGTAGGCTCTCTGTCTTCGAAGTTATTCTTTTAAAATTCTTTCGCCAGGTGGTGGATGACTATGGCCGGCTCACTCAGATAGGTTGTCAATAAACTGTTGGCAAAGGTTGGGACTGACGGTCGTCTTTGAATGTGGTTTTTGTTCAATTAGCGGGGTCCGGAGCAATGCGGAATGATGGCTGGTAGCTTTGCTTTGCTGCCGCCCATAGAAGACTCGAGCGATGATGATGCAGCCCCGCCAGTTCCTGCAACTTCTGCTCCAAGACCCACAAGAGAGCCAAAAAAGATCGTGTCAAAGTCCACGATTGAGCAATGTTTGCTGAAGGTGGTTCCGACTTCGTGTGACTGCCAAAAGCAGCGGTCTCGGTCGAGACGCGGACGCTGCTGTTTTGAGCCATTCAGGCAAAGTAGCCCTGCATTTCATGAGCTTGTCACTTTGCGGTTTTCGTGGAGCAACCTTCATAAGCTGGATGCTGACAACAAGGCAAGGCTTGGAAGCCCAGCAACTTTTTCGCCGCCCTTTCTATTCTTAGCGGTGATTTTCAGTGAGATTCTATGAAATGAAATGCAACACTACGATTTTCAGTGAGCATGACTAACTCACAAATCTTTTCTGCCCACAGGTGATTCGTTTGCTCCAAGATTGCTTGAAGACAAGGACTGGGGATGAATCCGAGACTGCCAGGGCGAGCTTGTCATTTTTGGGTCACACTATGTGCCGACAGGCTCTGAGACGCTTGCTGGGTTTAGGATCCAAACGTTGGAGGCGGCTTTTGCAATGTGCCAAAGACAAGACGGAAGCTCCAATGGATGGACGCTCGCTTTCCAGGAAGCATGCGCACCCAGATGGTGACAAATCCATGAATCGACAGCTTTGCTTAGAATTTTTGGCTGAGTTGTATGAGACCCTTTCGGAACCCATGCCTGAAGTGAAGGGACGTTTGCGGTGTCCCAAACTTCAGGCGTTTCATCGGCGCCCGGGGAAAAGGCCAAAGAGACCACAGGCGTTTCCTGGATCTTCATCCCAGCAGATGGACGACAACTTGGAATCAATGCGTGTTTTGCCTCCAGGTAGCTTCACCGATTACCTCTCCATGCTCCAGACAAGATACCCAGAACGGCGCATCAGCTTGAAGCTTTTTTTGACAGTCTTTGGGCGTCATAATAACCGGAAGACTTATGCTTTTCTTTGTCGGTTTCAATGTCTGTAATGTTTTTTTCTGTGGATGTTCTTTTTCTTTGAAGAGTAAGAGGAATTAGTCATTCCTCAGGTTTGGTCTGAAAGCTATCGATCGAAGCTGAGCATCCGAGAGAAGTCGAGACACGCTGCCTGTAGTACTTGTATCAAGCACCGCCTCATTCTGAAACAACTGACTGGAGACCGTGTAGCTCATCAGCGTCAGACTGAAATGTACGGATCCCATATTTCTGCACAATACCGTGACCGGTGCGTTTACTGGGAAAGCCGGGCCATCAGCCGCATCAACATGATGCAATCAGGATCACGCTTCATTTGCCTGATACTTGATGGCATGGACAAAAGCAAATTCAGGATGCCACGATCACTGGCTATGGCCAGCAAAGAATTCCAGACATTCGCGCGCCCAGCGCTCGACGTCCATGCAATCATCGGCCATGGCCACGGCACAGGTGTCTTTTTGAGCGACCCCATGATCCCCAAGGATTCCAGCTGGTGCTTAGACCTGCTGTTCGGGATGTTGAACAAGATTGGAGAACGTATCGACCTTCGTTTTCTCAAGCTGGCTTTCCAATGCGACAACACATGAAGACATCGATGGCTTTTTTTCACAACTTAACAGCGTTTTGGAGGCTTCGAATGAGCTTCATATCCCAGAAGACTTTTGCTCCGCGATTGACCGCTATTTGCAACTGCAGTCCACAAGACCAAGCGAGTCCGAGCTGAAGTTCACACAAGTGGTCAATTCTGTCAGAGACTGGCTTCTTGACTACTGCTAGTGTTAATGATTCAGTGTCACACTTGTTTTTGCGAACAAGAGTAGTGACACACGGTCATCCTGAGAGTTCATTGGCTGTAGGAAAAACTTTCTCCAGACCAAGTGTCTCGGAAACCATCTAAAGGGTATAGGGGGGCCAGGCGCCCCCCATACCTTTGTACTGGAACGATTCAGCGAGACAGGCCCGGCTCTTTTTGCCAGCATGAAAGTTCCGAGAGTTGACTGAATGTTTTATTAGCGAGCGCAGGGCTTCGGCGGAGTGAGATTGACAGCGCCTTCTGGAAGAAACGCATCCGAGGGGAATTTGAAGATGATGCAGATGTGATCCTCAGGATAAACTAGTACGTTCATTATAGTACAGATTGTTCCTCGACCTTGCTCTGCAGGACACGGCAGTACATGGCAGATTCTACATACAAAGGACGTCCGATTCTGTATCTACCAGCAGTCCTGGCAAGACAGATTGCGGCGGAAGAGCCGATGCCCAGTGGTGTTTCTGCCATGTTTGAATTTGCCCAGGATACCACTCGTGTCATGCCACTTTCCATGCCAGTTCGGGTTGCAGACCGAGAAAAAGAACCAAAGATCCACGAGAATTGGATGAAGTTTGCTGCAATCATGCGCAGCAAACTTAGCTGCTTTGATTCTTGAACATTTTTGAACTCTGATTTGGGCCAAGGGATGCCACCCTGGAATATGGCCAGATGCGCAGACCACTTGGAGTCATTGGTGAATGGCACCCTTGACCGTGGCCAGCCCTTGGACATTACCAGGACTGCGCAGTGTTTGAAGTGAACGACCGCCTCAAACTTAAACTTGCAGGATTCTCCCCAGTCCTGGCCCTGCAGTCGGTCTGGGAATTCCTGGAAGAGGCCACCAGGCTGTGCGGTTGGAGCCAGATTCTTGAATGAAGCGATTGTTTTGCAAACTGTTCTTGCAGGCGCAAACGCACACACACACAGACATTCACACACGGCCCCAGCAACGCGCGGCTAGTACATTGAGCTTTATTGCTCCCATGGTCATACCAGAACGCAGTTTGCCACCAGAAATTGCTCTGCGACGTGGGTGGTTTGGTAAGTTATGCCACTTGCTAAGGATGAACCTTTCCTTGTTGACCGCTCCAAACATGGAGCATAAATAGTTCTTCTACTTGCCCAATGGCAGTGCCGCAGAAGAATGTGTGACTGAACTTGGGGGCCTTTGAGGTAGTGGCCTAACTTTAGGTGCCACAATGGGAGTAGTAGTGGGAAGGCCCTGCCTGCAACTAAGTTGCAAGGGACCAATCAGCTGAAATGCTTTACGCTTGGCTAGCTTGCCGACATCCATGGCACGCTTGCCCTGGCTGCGCTGTAGGTTCTTTTTAACTAGACCCGTGCTGGGGCCGTGTGTGTCCACACACAACAGTATTTAATTTCTTTTTGGCTGTGTGTTTGACGGTTGATTTTTTGTCGACGGTGGCAGGGAGGGAACCCAAGGACATGAATAATTTGCACATGACTTTCGAGCCACTTGCCAAGAGCTGTCTCGATCGATACAAAGCGCGAAGAAGCCGACGCTACATCTACACTGCTGCATCGGCGCTGTGGGCTGAGGGAGTGCCTTTTCAAAAGGCTTTGTCCGTAGTTTCCACAGCTTTTCGAGCAGCTACCCACGAGCAGTAAGTGTTTTTTGTGTTGGGTTGCTTGGGCCACTCTTTGTTTCAACGCACCAGTGGTTGAGACTTATATACCACCTTGAACCAATGAAAGCGTTAGACAGCAAAAGCAATTTTGATGTAACCCTGTGTCCCTGTTTTTATCGCTGCAGTCCAACAACCTTCTGCTTTTGAAGTGAGAACGGTTGCACAAATGTTTCCTTCGAAGAAGGCGCATTCTGCACAAACATAGGTTGTTTAGAGCATGGGTTGTTTCTGCAGTTGGCCACCCGCTGGTGACACCAAAGCTCTGCCTTATGAGTTCTGGAAATATGAAAAAATATAAGTTGAGTTTTGATTTTCTAGATGGCTTCGCTAAGCAGGGTGTTTCTGTCAGCAGCCAGTGCCTGAGAACACGAACGTGTTCCCAGTCTGGAGTGTGCTTTGTGTGCAGAACATAAGCTTTCAGGTCATATCTTTTGAGCGCAACTAACTTGCAGAAAATTCGGGTGCGGCATGGACACTAAGGGCAAAGCCCGGTGTGGACATGAGATGGGTTCCAGCAGGCCTCAATGTAGAACTGGAACTTCGTTTGTGTCAAGGGCCGCCCGTTGTGAACACAAACGTGCTTCATGTTGAACACCGTTGACACAAAGCAAGGGGTTAGTTTATGTCCAACGACACAAAAGCCGTGGTGATGTTTTGTCCGTTGACACAAAAGTTTGGTTGTGTTCTGCCGGTTGACACAAAAGTGTTTGTTGTGTTCACACAGTTGACACAAAAAGAGACGTTTAGACCGCTGACGCAAAACTAAGATCATATGTCCAGGATGCTTGGTCACGTTTCGGTGGCAATGGTTTTTTAATTGATATTTTCTCAGGCTGTACCACCCTCGAATGCATCCCTCACCACACACTGGACCAGGAGTGAGGCCCATATGTTTTGCTCGATGGTCCTTCTAAGGAAGTTTGCGCACGCGTGTGTTGCCTACTTTGTGTTTAGCGTTTCTGCTGCAGTTTCCTGGGCCAGGCCACGCCTGACCTTTGAAGGTAGCCGACAGCCTGTCAGAAAACTAAATTGCTGGATTGATTCATTTTTTGGCAGAAGCAGTGTTTGTGATTTTGTTTTTACAGTCTCGGTGGCTCAAGGTTTCCTTGAGGTTCCTTTCGTTTGCCGATGCCACCGGCCAAACGGCTTAGCGGAGCCTCAGGGGGGTCAGAGAAAAAGAAAAGCAAAGCAGGTCCCAAGGCAATAGCCAGTGGCGCTTCGGAGTCGACAGCAGAGGGTGATGGCCCGACCGCTCTATTTCGGGATTGGTGGACACTAGATTGAAAGAGAGTGTTTCGTGAAGCTTGTCATTCATAGGAAGAAGTAGTGGGTAAGTTGTTGAGATGTTTGAGGACCCGAAAAATGGAAGAGTTTGAATCCGCAGACAAGTACTTCAACAAGCTCTTCGAATCGCGGGACAGAACTATGTCATACCAACACGTTTCTAATGCACTGCTTCGCGCAGGAAAAGTTGATCGAGTTCTTGATCTGGGCTAACATGGAAGTACCTCGAGAAGAACACAGGCCTGACGGTCTCAAATTCCAAGGTGTTTGATTTGCATGGCGTGGCCATGCAGTGTTCTTTCAGGTCCTATTGTGAGCGTGGTGATCTGCGTACGGTGCAGGGAGTGTTTCTGAGACCCACCCACCTGGTGTATGCTCAGAACTGTGGCCTCAAAGGCCTAGTGGAACCAGTCCCAACCTCATGTGTGCATGTCAGAGGGAAGTGAGAAAGCACCTGATCCTTAGGACGCACACTTGCTCCTATGTGAGATGATCGTTGCAAGAGGGCCGCAACCCTGGTTATTTTGTGAAAAAGCTTAGCTGTGCATTCTGGGCTTTGCCGAGGTTCTTGACGGATCCTGACACTCCAGGAGTGGAGAAACTTGTCATCTCCGCGTGTCGCCCCGAAGCCAACATTTGCCCGCCACACAACATCACCAACGCTGACATTTGTTGCAATGACAAACGTGGGCTGGAGCCCATGAACCTGATGTATGTCAAGGGTTGGAGTCGATCTTTGGCAGCTTTGACAGTCCTTGTGTGCGTGTGGGACTGCCCAGAGTTCAAGCAGGCTGGGTTTTCCGAATTGGTATCAAAAGTAGACTGCCTCACTGCTGGGTCTTGAAGGCTTGGCCAGGGTATCTACAAAGGACTCCTCCCTTGCGGTTTGTTGTGGATGGAAAGTTCTTCCACGGTAAGATTGAAGATTCTTTGTTGTGGCTTGGGCGAGGACCCTTCAAACCCTGCATGCTACTGTGACCGCCGTCCCGGGCAGTTCTGCTTCCGAAGCGTTGGTCAATGAGAACAGAGGTGTGGAATGATTAAGTCCTAGGACAGTATCGCCTGAAAAGTTTTGGCATGGAGGCATCACGCTTGCATCGACAAGCGTTCGGCGAAAGCCAAACGCGTTTAACCTGGTTCATCAGATGCGCCTGACTGCGAAGCTGGGTGGTGAAGCCAGCCTCGAGGTTCGGTTAGTGCTTTTACATGGTTTAAACCGTTAGCATGTTTGGCAGTGCAGGAATGGAACTCCTCCCACAAGGTCATGGCAGGCATGCAGGTTGGCCCAAAGGAAGCCGCGGCGGCTTTCCACCTTCTGAAGTGCATCGATGATGACATCGTAACTGCACTAACAGACGCTGTCAAGTGCCTGCCTCAAAACCATAGTACATTCAACATATTGTAAGTGCTAGTATTGTTTATTGCGGTTTCAGATTTGTCGTGGCAATTTTGTTGCGCACCGAGATCTCACACAATGATCAAATTCTTGACCCACGAAGCGCTGGCGCAAAAGTGGTTCAACAGGAACGAGGTCCTGGCGGCGCAAGCACACACAGCATGGACCGAGGTGTTAGTGAACACGCCCGAATCTTTGCAGCTGCTTTGTGCCCGTTTGTGCTCTGACTGGTTGGCAGTCAACCCAAAGCTTCGAAAGCCTTGGTCAGGCAGCCAAGTGGAAGCATGGCCACAGTTAGCGTTGTTTCTGACCAGTCCTACAGCATGTCGACACGTTTTCAGTTTTGGTCGCAAGTTTCGTCATGGTTTCAACCGCATGACCTTCAGGAGCCATTGGCCAGGATTTGCGCCGCCTTTGTGGCATGTCGGCGAATCTTTGTGGAGAAGTTCCCAACTGCATTCACAGCAGAAGAACTGCCGAAGATAGAGAAAGCGCTACATACTCAGATTTCTTGCTTGATCAGGTTCACCCGATCCACCCGAGTCAAGTGTAAAGCTCAAAGCTAATAGAATCGTGGCAAGTAGTTGATTTGTTGTTGCTTTTGCCCGCCAAGGTTCAATTTGAAACATGCCGATTGTGAGATCCTGGCCATGCTCCAGGACCCATTCCAGAAATTTTGTGTGTGCGTGAGGTCCTGTCCATAATGCAGGACACAGTCCCTCCAATTGACTTGGAGCGGGTGGCGCTGTTTCGCAGTGCGATCAAGAAATTCGAGAAACAGGTGTCGCCAGCTTTTAAGGTTGGGTTTCACGGTTGTGTTTTGGCCAGCAGGTCGCTGACGCGAAGATGCAATCGCAAGAACAGTGCCTCAATTTTTGCTGTTTGAGACCTTGGAAAAATGGACAAACATTTGTGTTTCGAGACCGCAGGTACGCGCAAATGATCCAGAAGGCGAACTACCAACAAACAGTACTCAAGATTGAGGCCGACCAGGGTTAGTCAAGTTGTAGCAATGTTTTTGGCTGTGTCATCCACTGCCAGGCGGACTTGCAGGCATTGAAGGTTTACAGCGAGAAGCAACAGCAGGACGCAAACCGGCAGGCTGGGAGCCTTCGATGTTTTTATCCTCAGCAAGCTTACAATTGCAATCAGGGTGGGCTCGACCTCCAGTACCTCACGCAGAGGTTTCAGAGAGGCCAAAAGGATGTGGAGAAGTTCATGGCTGAGAGCCATAAGTATGAGTGTGTGGGCCAGTTCAGCGATGTTCATGCCAACCTCTTGGACTGGCAATCAAAAGAATCCAGCAATTCCAACAGCCCGTGACTCGTTTAATTATGATGAAAAGTCAAACCTTACTTACGATGAAAAGTAAGCGATTGGAGGCCTGGATTGTTCCTGGCCAAGGTACACCATCATGATCATGGACCTATCGCTGTGGCCATCCAGACAAATCCTCAGTTTGTTCTTTTTTGCATTCGTCACTACCCACAGACTCCTGTTTTTTTCAGAAGAATGGAAACTCACAGAATAGCGCCAAGCAAGGACAAATGATTATCAATGAAGCTGGTGAGGTTGCAAAGTATGTGTGCAACCAGAATCCAAATAGTGTTTTGGTGGAGCTCCACCCAGTACAACACGCTGGCATTGATCGCGCATTTGTGTTGCGGAACAGACGCGTTGTGGAGGACCTATTTGGAGGACAGTGGCCTTCATGCATTTCACGAAAAGGGTAAGAAACAAAATGGACATTTTTGCAGTTTCTTTGGTCCATTGCTGAGGTCATCAGATGTGACCGAATTTTCACTGGTGTTCAAGGAATCGCAACACGCCTCGGACAAGAGGAAAAAGAACCAATATGGACACTTTGAGACAAGTAAGGGGGTAGTTCGTTAGGTATTTGGGCGTTCAACGCATTAGGTTCCGGCCGGAGCCAAGGAATGTTGGTGACGTCGAACCTTCACAAGGGGCAGGGCGGGTTTTCAAAGTCGAAGGCGACATTGGGCACCATCGGCCCGCTGTCTCGGTGCAGAGTGTCAGAGCTTTTGAGGGATGACGCAGAGACTCCCCCAAATCCACAACAGCGAGTTTCTTGCCTTCCCAAGTGCATTGAAGCTGTGAATTTCACAATCATGGGTTCTTACGCCAATTCAATTCATATCCAAGGCTGCCCAGCGAGGGGTGACTGCAACGCGGGAGCTGTTGGAATTCTTGATTGATGGCTTGGAGCTCCCTAATGGCACACACATATACGTAGTAGACCTCTGCCCTGACAGGCTTGTTACTGGAATGTTGCAATTTGCAATAAGCATCATGTTCTTTTCTAGAGATGTTCTTGCCCTGCAGGTACAATGAGTGGGGAAGGGCGAGCTTTGATTTACAACTCGCCAATTTGCGACAACAGGATGGAGACCATCTGAACTGGCATTTCTGTGCCTACTCCACTCAGGAAGACGGTGGCTTGGAGGCTCAGGCCAAGCTGATGCATGGTCAAATCTACCGAGTGGGGCACCAAGTTCGAACTTCGCAATGCACTATGTTTCACATAATATGCCACTGAGTGCGGATCTTGTTGACGGACCCTTCAGGACTGGTGGGACAACAGCGAAGGTGCAGGGCCCAAAACACGGGCTCGGAGCAGTGAGAAGACCAGCTTGCCTACGCTGGAGGTTCTGTGCGTTGAAGATTCCAAATGCAAGCTCCCAACTCTGCCTTTAAATGTTTGTTGTGAATGGCTGGGGCAACCCATGGCCCAGCAGAGTCTTACTGTCGGCTGAGGTTGCCCGCCGCTCTGGCAGATTCACTGGGGGATTCATCGATGGACTTGAAGCGAAAGATTGAAGAATTCAATCAGACGTGTTGCTTATTTTCTGGTCAGGGCCAGAGTCCTACTGTTAGGCCCACTGGGGGAGCTGGTCAGGCAACAGATGGCCCTCGAACAATGTGTCAGCCAGTGTTTCGCGCCGAAGACCGCCCAATCGACCCAACAAGAAGCCTCCAAGTCACAACATGCACGAAAGATGAACTGGAGCTGAAAGAGTTTCTTAGACACATTTGAAATTGTTTGAAGCTCATTCAAACTATATATTGTAAGTTTTTGTCGTACATTCGCATACCCCAAGGTTGCTTGCAAGAGCCCCAGCTTTTGGCAACGCCAAACTGGAGCTTGTGGCGTGCAAGGATTACACCTTGTATTTGCTGAATACTTCAGACTCTGACACGCTGCATGTCCCTGCGGGCGAACTCTGTGGATTTGGCGCTGGCAGTTTTGCAGAAGTCACGCCAGGCCGAATGAATTGTTGGCTTCAAGCAATATACATGGTTTTGTAGGGTTTCGCTTTTGCGTGGTCAGGAGTTGCCCGGAACAACAAGGACCACAGTATCCCATGGCTGCTTGATGGGGACACCCAGCTCTTGATTTACACAGATGGAGACACGAAGCGGATCCTGTGCTTGGCCCAAATTGCCTGTCACTGTTGCCAGACCCGTGGGGTCACTGAGATGACACTGTTGGATCACACATTGGTCCAGAAGAACCAGGACCTATTTTTTCTAAACGCTCATTTGTGGAGTTCAACTTAAAGCACTTACCAGATTCAGTGTATATATATATATATTGGTTTTCGAAGCGTCGCAAACGAGGAGGATGGAGGGCCCATGGCATTCAGGTATGCAGTGAGCACTCTGCCGAAGATCAACAGTTTTGACCCGAAAGGGGTGAGCGCCGAAGCGAACATGATGGATTTGAGGCCCAGTGTCTTCGGCGCTGTTTACAAAGGTCACCTACGTTCATTGCCAAATAGCATGGCAGTGCTGAGCTGGGAGGCCGGAGTAGGTCAAAACAATGTATAAAAGACCGTCTATTCTGACCACTGTTGCGGAAGCTTTTGGTGGAATATGTCACGGAGTCAGAACTTTGTGAGTTTACGCAAGGTGCGTGTGGAACCATCGCCAGCATTGGTGAAGCCAACGAAGCCAAAGCTGCTGCTCCAGGGTGCCCTTACGCTCCCACCTTTGACAGCAGCGCTGATCAAGTGAGTCAGCAAGTCTCGCCTTATCGGCTTTTGAGACAGCTTTGTGCTTGAAGCATCAGTATCAGCGTTCCTGGAAAACATGTTACTTGCATTTTTTGTATGTCACGCAGCAGCGAACCATAAGCAATTGTGCGATGTTTTGAAGTTCTTTTGTACTTTGAGTATTCAGGGTCAACTTGCAGGTTGCTTTGTGGTTGAACTGAGTACAGGCCCAAATCCTATAGGACAGGACAAACGTAGTTTCTCCGCTAACCGCTAACCATGCCTTTGGAGGACATAAAGGAGTCAGATCTTTCTGACGGCGAACCTGCTGCGACTGCGCCGAAAGCAAAGCCAGGCCCTAAAAGCAAACCAAAAGCAGAGCCTAAAAGCAAACCAAAAGCAGAGCCAAAGAAGCAATTGCCAATGAAAGCAAAAGCGGGAGCAAAGCCCAAAGCAGAACCCACCCCGCCAACCAGTAGCCTGGAGTCGCCGCAAAACGTCTCCTATGAATCCATGGAAGAGGCCGTAGCAAAGGCAATGAAACGACCAGCAGCCAAACCCAGCAGCGTCAGCGAAGGAGGGCCCCTTTTCAAAAAGCCAGCGTCTGCAAAGAGCAACAAGGGACCTCCGCCGGGCCGCGCCTACAAGTATTGCTACTATGCGGACAAAAAGTATGGCATCAAGAGGGACGGCCACGAACTCCTGACAGTAGGAATCTTAGAGGTTTCGCTTTCTATGTTTCAACTAGCGTGGGTTTGCAACTTTATTCAGGTGCGGTTGGAACCAGGCCTCACAATGGATGAAATCTGTGATATTGCTGTGCCCCGTTCGCAGTCACTTCTGGATTTTCAATTGCCGCTGAAATTTTACTCATTTTGTAACTGCCTTCTATCATAAGGAGGTGATTCGTGAGGAGGCCGAGAAAGGTGTTTCGAAAGCGGATCTCATTGATCTGGCTGTCAGTTGGCCAAATGATGTTGTGTGCAGTGTTTTTTCCACATGTGATGTGTTTTGTCACTGTGATTCGCCATCATAATGTCCAACAAATATGATATGTACATATCTATATATATATATACATGTATATATATTATATCGTTCCTTTGAGGCTACGATGAAACAGCAGAAGCTTGAGTCCAAAAAGTCGGCGGTTGGTGGTTCTGAGAGTGGACCGGCTGATGCTAAAGGCAAGTCGAAACCAGACTTGGCAACTGACGGTGACCTCGGAGGGGACGCCGAAGAAGGCGAAGAGGAAGAACACAAAGAGAATGACCCAGAGCAGGAGGCATAGTCTTGAAAAGACTACTAGCCAGTCAAGTTTTTCAGGAGACCGCTACTCCAAGGCGTCTGGTTCGCGAGAAAAAGAGTTGTTGCAGCAGTTTGCCCCAACGGTAGCGGTAGAAAAAAAACAACAACAAACAAACAAACAAACAAACAAACCACCCTCCATGTGTGTAAGTTAAGGTAAGAGGGTGGTAGAGGTGGGGGAAGGTTGCAGTTGGGTTTTGTGTTTTGTTTTTCAAATTTTTTGTTGGCAATTTTAAACTTTGGGATTTTGGAAGTGCTTTGAACTTGTCCAACGCACTATTTGCTGCAACGAAAGTCTGATGTGTGGTGGTTCGGGAAGTATTGGCATAATAGCTTGGTCACGCCTGCTCGTGCAATGCTCATGCGCACGTGCTGAATCAACTTTCCTGTCTCACGGGGTTCCAAACGGACCCACCCAAGTCTGCTTCAACTCCATCAAAACTCAGGGGATGGCACCACCTTTCAAGAGTTCATGGGGTCTGTGCCAGCGCAGGACCAGTTAACTTTCCCAGGCCCCTTTGCAAAGAAAAGTTCCTAAAATCTTAGCAAGGACAAAAGAACCCCAGAAGAAACCGAACAAATCAGGCAAGAAGGACTCACACACCTTCGAGTAGCTTGCAAAAGCTATCTCAAACAGATGAATGAAGGGAGGATCTTCTTGCATTCACACCCGAAGGGTGCCAGCTCCTGGAAGGAACCCGAAATGCAAATGCTGAGCAACGACCCCAGAGTGATCCAGGTCGAAGGGCCGATGTGTCGTTGGGGCATGAAGGCGACAGATCAACAAGGTGAAGGGTTTGTGCGCAAAGAGACGCGCTACCTCACAAACTCTGTCGCGATTGCAGCTGCATTGTCGGGTCAATGCAACGGAGGACACAGACATGTTCATTTGGTGAACGGCAGAGCCAGGCAGGCGCAAAAGTACCCTCCACGCATGGTGGCAGCGATTCTGCGCGCAATCAGACAGGAACTTCGATGGCGTGGAGAGCTCAATGAGCTATCAGTTGAAGGGGCTGGACCTAGTCCAGACGGAGAGACAAACGAACCCAACAACAAATTCGATGCTCCAGCAGAAGATCATGAACAAGCCGAGTACTTTGACACAGTCACTGGAGCTCCATTGCGCACAGAAGCAGTTCTTGCCGCCAGGCAAGAAGAGTTGAGATGTGTTCACAAGCAACAGATCTACGTCAAGGTTCCGATTGAAGAATGCCATCAGACCACTGGCAAGCCACCCATCACCTTGAAGTGGGTGGATAAGAACAAAGGAGACATCAATGTGAAAGAAAACTACAGAAGTCGCTTGGTGGTCAGAGAAGTCAAGAAGCCAGGTCAGACTGTTCCAGAATGCGAGAGCTTTTCAGCAATGCCTCCACTCGAGGCACTCAAGGCACTTTGTTCACTCATGACTTCAATGAAGGTCAGCCGACGTGGAAAAGTGCTCAAGCTTAAGTTGCTGGACATAAGCCGTGCTCATTTTTATGGCGATTCTCAACGAGCTGTGTATTGCACATTGCCCGAAGGAGACGAGACGCCAGGTCATTGTGCCCGTCTTGTCAAGACGATGTACGGGACGCAAGATGCAGCATCAATTTGGCAAGCAACTTACAGCGAATTGCTTCAAGAACACGGCATTCAAGCCGGAACAGCATGGCCGTCGATATTCTATGACACGCAGTCAGACGCGAGATTTCTCGTGCATGGAGACGATTTCCTGATTTTAGGAGATGAAGATGCACAAAAGCGGATTGCCACCATTTTGGCAAAGAAGTTCGAATTTCGTGTCGACGGATGCGTCGGACCTGAAGAGTCAGATGGCACGGTGATGAGCGTGCTCAATAGGATTTTGGAGTACAACAAGTCCACAGGGACGTTGACATACGAAGCTGATCCTAGACACGCAGAGATCATTGTGAAACAATTGCAACTAGAAGGCGCTCGAGAAGTGAGCACTCCCTCAGTGAAGCAGACGGGGGAAGAGGCGTTTGTCGAAACGCCGCCCTTGAATCATGAACAAGCAAAGACTTACAGATCATTGGTGATGAGAGCAGCCTATTTGAGCTTAGACAGAGGAGATCTATGTGAAGCTGTGAAAACATTGGCAAGGTCTATGTCCGTTCCCGATGAGGATTCTTGGGCAAGACTGAAACGCTTGGGCAGATACCTGCTAGGCAAACCCAGAGTCGTTCAAGAGTTCAAACCACAACGGATGTACACCAAGATCCGAGCTTTCACAGACAGTGACCATGCTGGATGCGTTCGCGCGAGAAAGTCCACCACCGGACTGGTCTTGATGTGTGGACAGCATACCCTGAAGTCATCATCAACCCTGCAAACGACGATATCGTTGTCTTCGGGCGAATCGGAGTATTACGCCATCGTTAAAGCAACGGCGTCAGTGCCCGGGATACGAGAATTGTTCCGAGAATGGGGAGTTGAGTTGGACTGCATGGTTCTTTCAGACTCCAGTGCAGCCAGAGGAATGTGCAGTCGACGCGGGCTAGGCAAAACAAGGCATGTACAGACCCGCTACTTGTGGGTTCAGCAGAAGCTCAAAGAGAAAGAGTTCGAGTTGGTCGCAGTAGGCACCGACAAGAACGTTGCCGACTTGTGCACCAAGCCTTTGAGCGCGGAAACCTGTTGGAAGCACATGCATGCTTTAGGCCAGCACGCAAAGACCGGCAAGAGCTCGGCTGCAAAAGCCGTGGAGTGAAGATTCATCTGCAAAGCAGAAGAATCTTAGGAGGGGTGTTTGGATGTAGGGTATGTACATACTATACACGTACCCCGACTTTTGGCTCAAGGGAAATAAGCGCGAGCGGCCGAGCTTTGAGCGTCCATATACATTTTCACCTTTTGTCGAGTCTTTCCTGTTGAATTCTTAATTTTTGCATGAACTTTTCTGCTGTCCAACAGCAAAGAGTCCGGCACAGATACAGATCCCACATGTGTTTGGGTTCTTGGCTTGCCATGTTCAGTTTGATACAAACTGCACAATGCAGGTATGTTGAAGGGGCTTCCTTTTGATAATATTACTGTGACCTTTGGCTGTCTTCGTTGGCTCAGGAACCAGAACCTGACCACCGCTAGCGTTGTAGAAATATGTAAGCCAAACAAAATCTGCTTTGATGCCAGAACATGTCATACACGCACACACTTTCAGCTTGGAGAGTGTTCAGAAAACGGCGCGAGTGATCCCAGCAATGCTGCTTGAGTAGTCGGACCTGGAGTAAGCCGCAGTGCAGAGAAAAACCAACGGCTCAAACATCCAGATACTCAAGGTTACGAGGTCTCCCCAGTTCAAATTCAATCGAAGTTGCACATTTGCCGACCGACCTCGACCTATAACAACCCGAACTATGAGTCGGATCTGGTTGGAAAACAATTCAACAATCCAGGCACGTGTGCCGGTATGCCTGGAGGATCTGGCCTGAGATCCCGTTAAAAACCGTACTGTAGCATGGTGCACGCTAGCCGCTAGGTTGTGAATGCCGTGTACCTCTGCTGACAAGCATCGTGAGATTCTTCATAAAAGACTGCAACTGCAAACATGTGAGTCCAGGATGGCCACACACTCACACACTTATGGATATGCGTACTGACTTGACAGCGGTGCCACACGCCAGCCTAAGAAACCCAAATCCTGAAAAGTCCAGGAAGGTCCTAAAGAGCCTGGGGTTCTTCAAAAGGACATGTGGCCCAAAGCGCAAGGCGAAAGCGATCCGACAGAGTGACGGCGTTCCGTGCGTGACTGCAGCTGC